GTGTAACACTTATTTTCCGTTCAGCGCAAGAAAATGTTACGTTAAACTTTAATTTAATTAAAGTGAAACTAACTTATTATTAATCAAAATGTAAATCTTCCATTTTAATTTTGGAAACAATTACACAGATTGCTTTACAAATTAGAATTACATGTAATTTTTTTAAAGTTAAACATTTTTTATAAATGCTTATCATTTCTTTCATTACCTTTACCTTTTGTTATATGGAAAACTTTAATTAAAATCTTGTGGTACAAAAATTTTTTACATACATATATATATACTTTTTTTCGAAATAAAATTTTTTTTCATCTTACATTCCATTTCAAAAGCAGTAGGTTTAAAAAAAAGGTGATTTGAAAAAAAGTGCCTTGGTTTCTCTAAGATGTTTTCAGTAAGAAATTAGCATTGTTTTTATGCATCATTTAAAATTCCTTTGCTGGTTAAGCTTTACTTTTTTAAAGGTGAAGAAAGAAAATTTTTGTACCATTCGTATTTGAAATCTTATTCCCTTTTTTTGACCAGGTAAATGAAAGAATGTTAACAAAAAAGTATAAAACAATGTATTAAATCTTCATTGAAAAATATTTTAGGTTTAATAGTATTTTTTGAGTTTATAGGTTTTAACAATAATTTATGAACGTAATTTGAATGCATAAATAAACAATTTATACTTTTCTTAATAAGCATATATAAGTTTGGCAGTCCAGGCATTCAGATGCCTTGTCGTAATAGGGTTTTATTTTTTCTTCTGTTTTTACAAGATTATGATGCAAAATTTATTGCCTTTTGTTTCAATTTGAATCTCTCTTTCAGAGCCGTGTATTCAGGTTATAAGGCGTTCGCCTCTCAACGAGGTGACCCAGGTTCGAATTCCAGAGGTGAATAGTTAATAATAATTCTGTTTCCGACTCTCACCAAGTACACAGCGTTGACGTAAAATATCCCCAATGGTAAAGGGATCATGGGTTTGAATCTCCATGCCCTCGGGCTGACCGCGGAAGGTTTTCGTGCATTTTCTACATTTTAAGCAAATGCGAGGTAGTTCCATTAAAATAGTCCTCTACGATGGCTAGTTTGTTCCAATGCTTGATTCAGGAGTTTCATTGCCTTCTGGGTTGGGTTCAGAATTACGCGTTGTCTTTGTAGCTAGATATTGATAGTCGTAAACTCAAAACCGAGTCGGCTGTTCTACGCTAGTTATAAAATAAATTAAAAAGGCATTTGCAAAATAATTATTAACTTTAATAGTTAATAATAGAATAATACTATAATAATAATTAACTGTCATAGGCCTTAATAGAATAATGGTCTAATTTGCTTAAAAAGAATGGACCCAGCTGCAATTTTATGTTCTTCATCGTTTTTAGTTTCTCGACAGTCCTAGGTTCTACCTAACCTTCTCCATAACTTTTCTACATTTGGCGAATACTCTCTTAACTTGAATGTTTTGGCCATTATCAACACAGTCGATCCCCTTAAGCGGGGGACTACCCCGAGATCTTTTTTCCATGGGCTTTGCTAAAAAGACTTTCTTGCGGAAACGATTTTCATGCGTTCTTGCCAGATGGCCAACTCATTTAATTCACTGGTTTTTTTTATGAATTTTACCATATCAGATTATTTTTAAAAAATGCTGAAAAGCTTTAAATATTTTTTTTTCTCAATGACCGTTTACTTTAACTCCACCAAATGTATTTTGAAAAATTCCTCTTTAAAGTTTTTAAATCTTCTGTATCATCACAATTTCAAATCTCCGATGCAAATCTCGAGATAGATCTTAAAAGACTCTCGTAAAGATGCAGTTTAGTTCTTAGTTTAAGAAAGTTAGATTTTCCTCTTTCATTCAAATAGTTTCTAGAATATTTTAAACTAATGTACGTTCAGATTACTTATGCTATTAAATAGGGGTATAAAAGAATCATACATTGAAACTAAAGGCTTTGCATCTCAAAATGAACCAAAGTTATCCCGCCATTCAAATAATATTATAATCAACATGCATCAAAATATATTATAAAAGCTTATCTATGGACTAATTTAAAAATAATTTGAGGCTAATGCACATATTGTGACGCATAAATATGCATATTAATTAGGTACATTAATAGTTTTACATAAAATAAAATGTGGCGTATTATTATTAACTTATTAGGCAAGACATATTTTATTGAAACATAAGTTTTTAAGCTATTTCACTTTTTTAATAAAGAATTAGAATATTAAGTATTAAAATATTTTTTTAATATAATATATGCTGTATAATAAAATATAGTTTACAGAAAATCTCATTTTATAAAAATTTTGTAAGATTTGTTACTACTCTTAGAATGAGAATTTATAAAGTACTTTATTTTGATATCTTGATTTATTAGTTTAGTGAGATTTTTGAAAACCTAATATGTTTCATAAAATAATTTCTCTTGAAATATAAATCCGTCCAACTATAAGTGCTTCGATTTATGTTCATACACAAAACGAGACATTTGCAATAAAATTTCTGAAATAATTATTTTAGTTTCAAATGTGAGATTTGATTATTTTGCAAAAATTAATTAAAAGACAATTAAACAAGTTCTTTATAAAATATTTTTTGAGTTTATACATTTGTTGCGCTATGTAAAATTTTAAAAGACTTCACATTCTTAGATCACTTCTTGAAATGTTTTCTTTCAAGTATTTAAGTTAATGACTTCCATGTAAATTAATTGCTTTGCATTCAATGCATATTAATTGCCATTCCTCTTAAATAGAAATAAATAATATGCAACTCATCTTATTAGAAATGTTAATTGAAACTTGAGAATGTTGTAAGCGTCTAAATGGCAGTAAAGCGAAAGATTAATAAAACTCATTAAATCTATTTTACTATGCAGACATAATTTTTAGCGATCTGAATAGTGAGAAGCCATGTAGCACAGGGAAAAGACCCGGGTTTGTATCTCAATGAAATTTGGTTGATTCGTATGCTAATAGTGTATATTATTTAAAAAAATATCCTGTTGCGTAATTCATAAATGTATAGTGTTTGACTATTTAAAGATGTGAAATTCTGTGTTTAACATGGTGATCACTAGCAGATTATCTGTGTTTTGTGTGAAATTTTCTTTTTGGTATTAACTTTTTTTTCAAGCTCAAACCTTGAAGATAAAATCAAATAAAATGAAATTCATTTTAATAAAATATTTTTGACTTAAATAATTAATTTATTACCTTAATTTTAAAATGCGACAGTGTTTAAGATTTTGTGTATATTTTAAGAACTCATGACCAGAGGATGCCGATTGCAAACGTTAATTTTTAATTACATAGCTGAAAATCATGAAAATATAATTTAAAAGAAAATGTTTAAGTAAAAATATCCTGCAAAACCTTTTTTAACATTTTTTTCTATTTTTGCACGTCATATTTTATAACAAAATTTTAACTCAATTGCACAGATTTTAGTTATGTTATTTATTTTTATACAGTTATACGCAGTTAAATTTGAAGTCTAAAGGTTCTGAAAAACATTTGAAAAAAAAGAGTTATCAAAACTGCATGTCACGGTGTTAAACTTTTGCAAAACTAATTATTTAACTTGAGTAATACAGTATCATCCTATTTCAGACCAAAATCAATGAAAAATAAATTAGAATTTTACGTTAACTTTTTGCTGCAAAAAACGACTTTTATATTCTTCTATTCTTCTTAGTTAAATTATTGATTGCAATAAATTTGTGTAATTTCATTCATGTCCATTTAATTTAAGTGCTTGTATTTAAAGGTGTAATATTATATTTAGTTAAGCATGTAGTTCCACACGTTTAGCTTAACATGTTATTGTGTACAGGTTCATTTTTACTTTTTCTGCAAAAATTGACAGTTATATTACTCTAAACTAAAAGATCGATCAGTTTAAATTAATCATTCAATTCGTGTTTATTTTCTTCAACTAAGTGCTTGTGTTCAAAGGTGCACATATAATTGCACTAAGCTAAATACATAGTTCTGAAACATTTCTAAATCAATTTAAACATATATTCTGATCTATTCTTACAAAATAAATGAGAGGGAGCTCTTCTGCCAATGTTGCTTTTAATGAGATAGTTAATGTTAGAAATTTATTCAAGACGTTATTATCTAAATGATGCAGAACAACTCTACAGGTCCTTAAAGCAAGTGATAAAATGAGCATATAAGTGCTTCAGCTTCATGAATAATTCACCCTTTCTTGAATTCGAAGAAAGGAAATTTTTCGTTTAATTTTTTTATAAGGAGAAAATTTCTTCNGAAAAAAAAAAAACAGTTCTTTTGAATTGATTTCTCGAAAATCGTGCTTTCCTCTAAGTTTAATGTAGTTTATAAGTAAGTAAAAAAATCGCGTTATATCAAATCTCAGTTGATGTAACTTGCTTTCAATAGATATCTGATAATACTTTTAATATACCCGGATTTCACTCCAAAAACTTAAATCAATCAATCAATATAATTAAGTAAATTTCTTTTTTCAATCTTCATGAAAAATTCATTTTTGCAATCGATTATATATTTTAAATTAGCAGAATCCTAATCAATTGGGATTTTTGATATAGCCTAATTAAAATTTTAAGATAAATTTTAGCACCAATTCGAAGATTAGATAAAATAACCAATTTGATTATTAGATAAATATATATTTTTGGAGAATATATATATTTTTATGGCTATAACTCTAAATAGTTTATTGGCACCACAAAGCCCTTTGACAGTACCGAAATGGGAAACAAATATGATGTATCGTAAAATCCGCATTTAAATTTGCTCCTCTAGTTAATTCCTTTCCTAAAAATTCAGTGTTTCCTAAAACATCCGGAATTTACTCCTAATCCAGTTTTCTCGTACCTTTTGCACATTTTTTTTACTGGTTATACTCAAATTTAACCTCTAATTTAACAAAAGAAAAATTTTTTATAGCTGTTAGCGTAGTTCTATATAAAAAAGCTTTTTTTATCACTTAAAGTTACATTTGCTTCTTGCAGCTTCAAAAAAGAGGAGTCTTTAAAGTTGTATTTTGACGGCAGTAGAAAGACTGCTTGGATTGAGAAGTCGCTTCAAAGCGATGGAACGAAAATGTTCATATCTGATACGATGCTAAATGCATTTGTAAATAACAACTACAAGATAAATGGTGGAGTTCATCTTAAACCGGATGTTACCTCCCAAACTATTTCAAAATGTGTAACGGAAAAAAGAATTTGTGAATTTTGTGACAAACATTTATATGGACTTAAAACCGCCGCCTATGAGCAATCTGAAAATAGAGAGAAAAAAAGCATTGCTCATTGCGACATTTATTATAATGGAGATAAAAAAGGAGGCAGTGGAGATAAAAAGTCTGCCTTTCATGGCGAGACTATAAAAATGTTTTGAATATTCTGCAACCAATACTATGATGGACCAAAAAAAGCGGAATATGCTAGAGAACCAGCTGAATTGAATAACCCTAAGATGGCATCGTTGAGTGAAAACTTGACTCCTGACAACGGCAGAGCCAAAACTGTCCTTGATGAGATGCCATTTGAAAATGGACGCAAATCCCCATCCATCAATGCTGATTTAATGAATGAGGAATCGGGCTCTGAAGGAGCTGACCCTTCGCTTGAAAGTAATGAGGAAGAAAAAATGATTTTAAATGGACAGATCTGTCAAAGAGATGACAGCACGGAAAGTGCTTCGGATGAAATGGCGAGTGTTGCAGTAGAGGGTGATAAAGCAAAAATTAGACTTAGTGGAGATCTTCCATTTAAAGAGAGCAGAAAAATAAAGATTGTGACAAACGGAGTACTGTTTGAAAGTGCTCACAAGACCTACAAGGCTGTGGTTTCTGAAGTTCCACACAAAATAGATGAGGAAAATAAAGTTACTCCTACAGGACGAAAGGCTGAAACTAAAAAACCTTATATTGCCTGTGTTGGAAAGCCATTTATGAGTTGTGAAAAAGCAAAGGCTTTTTGTTATGGAGTACCACCTGCTGCAGGATTTCCAACGCTCCATTAAAATTTGATGAAGAAGATTACAATTCGAGAGGCTGGGAGTGTGAAACAAATGAAAAAAAAACTTTATATTATTTGATACACTACTATTGAACTACTTCAGGAATTGTTATCAACATGAGTGACATTTTTCCTGTTAATTACAAGTTTTGATTTTTTTGGTAATGCATTATTTTTTCAAAAATTAATTCACGTACTTCTAGTCATGTTTTTTACTTGAATGTACAAAATTGTTTTTAGCTGCAAATGTAATAATATGTAATTTGGCAGATAATAAAATAGTGTTTAAGTAAACAGAGTGTTTTCATTAAATTTCCTAATTACTAACACGCAATTCTGACTACATTTAAGCTTTAAAATGTTTTCTAACTCTTTCAACAGCTTGTTTTCATTTACGTAAAAGAGGAACCTTGCATTCGAAATTGTAATAAAAAATCCGTTTTCGGTGAGCTAGAGCTCTTTAATTTTGGGTAGATCTCCAGTTCCTGAAAGTTTCGATCATTTTCTAAATGCTAAAAACAGTATTTAACGCGATATTATAGACAAATATAATTTCCTTAAATCGAAATTCTGACCTACTTTCAAATGCATTTTTAAATGGAGCTACGAGCTGAATAACTTTCTAAGTTTCAATTGCTTTTTGACTACTACAAGCTGTATTAATTAACACAATCATTTAACAGAATAACTCACCAATTAAAATTTTAATTATATTCTGACTATCTTGTCAGAATATAATTAAAATTTATTAATGGAGCGTAGTGTATGATAGCATTACAAGTCACAGTAGATTTTGAGCGTTTTAATAAAAATTTATTGCCAACAAAAATTTCAAAAATTTTTCGACTAGCCTAATTTGAGTTTGGAGAAATTAGCAAAAGCTTTAACTGTTTCTTGAACTCTACAGCTAGATTTTATTGCCTTTTTATTCAAAACTAGTATTTATCGATATTTCAAATTTCTTCCTCTTTATGAATAGCTAGAAAGATCAAATTACATATGCACCAGCTGAAAATACAATTTTTAGCAATTTTCTACCACTTTTTAGTGGTAGAAAATTTATATTAGTGGCAAAGTTTATCACGAAATAGAATTCATCGTAAATCGCTATTGTGTCCACTGTTTTTTAACTAAATAGTACTTTGTAGCTCTATGTACTACTGTAGCTCTATTCTTGATATCATTACTAGAAACACTCATGAGTTGTTTTATAACAATTTCAAATTTGGATCCATTAAGTAAAACTTTAGTTTTTAGAAGTCTCAAGATGCTGATTTGAAATTATCCTGAGTGTTAATGGAAATAAGCAACCGGTATTAATATTTTACTTTTTTTAATGTGAGGAAAAATATTATTTCACATAAAAAAATACTGTAAACTCTGAAAGTTTTTTTTTAAATATTAAAGTTAGCGCTCTTATTATTTTAAGTCATAAGTCCTCTAGCTCCCCCCCCCACTTCTTAAGTCAAAAATATAAATGATTCATAGAAAATGAAACTTGACATATTGATAATCAGAGTGTTTTACAATAACCGTCCTTAAACTGAACTTTTAGAAAAACTTGTCAAATGAACAGAAATCAGACGAATTACCAGTGAGATAGGCAAGACGAAAAAAGAAAAATAATAAAGTATGCCTTATGAAATTACGAGTCCGATAATCTTTTTTACTTCTATTACATACCTCCGTCGGACATGTTTTGATTTGTTATTTGTTTTCGCTGCTTCGTCTTCTTAAGTTGTGGTTTTTATATGTGAATGACGTATTTATTTTTTATTTCCAGAACATTAATTTGTGATTCCTAGTGTACTATTTTTCTGACTTCATTTTTAATAAGGATTCTATAAATGTATATGCGGTGATTTATGAGCATTCTGCATTTATCCTTGACAGCTTGCTACGAATCAGACAAATTATTCAATCAAACTGAAACATCGTATTGAAAATTGTTTTGGTCAGAACCGTAAAATATTTCTCCATAAAATTAATGTATTTTTCCTCCATCAATCAATCTTGTCAAAGTCTTGATTTTTCAGAAACTACCTTACGTTTTTGTTACACTCTTGAAAATGAGAATTGCAATAATTAAAGATATATGCATAAATGTTAAAATAATTTATTTTTAATCTCTCAACTCGAAATCAAAAGATTTGTAATTTTTTTGGATGCTAAAGTGATTATTAAATAAATCAGGAACTTTTTTGAATTTTACACTTAATCATCAAAAGTAATAAAATAATTGTTAACGTAGTACAGGATCCCTTCTGTCTGGTTAGACTAGATGTGGCTTATACTCCATAAGATCCCGGAAGATCTTTGAAGAAATATTAAGCAATGTAAATGTACGCTCGCAATCAGTCATACTTGCGTAATTGTTGCATATACCAGATTTATTACAGAAACTTGCATTTTATTTCAGTTTCAAATGTGTTGGATTGGATTTAAAATCATAATTTGAGGTTGTAAGATCTTCCGTTCAAATTATCCAGAATATTCAAGCAAATAATAAACAATGTAGATCTAGTGGAAACATGCTTTTTCTTGTTAGGAAATGCAATTAATGTAAGGAAACATTAGGTCCTTGAAATGCGCCAGACGGTATCCTAAAATGTAAAAAAAAGCTTAAAGATTTAATAATAGTTCCACTTTTACTAAATGAAAACCATACCAAGATGTTAAAAATCTTTTATATTAGTTATTATACTACAATTAAAAGCCCTGATAGTGTTTTTTTTACATATGCTTTTATTATACAATGCTAAAACAACTTGAATATTTGAAATTTTTCCATCAATTTCGGCACATTTACTTACTTTTTATTATTTTTCACTTTATTTACATGAGAATCGTACTAAGAAGAATAAAAATTGGTAGATTTATAAATAACAAGTCTTACCATTAATCGAAACATAGTACTTCATTTATTATTTTTAATTCTTTACAAGAAATAAAGCAAATAAAGCCGCAATTTTTGTGAATTTTTGGTTAGAAATTCAATTTAGTTCATCGTTATATTTACTATTTATTATTCTTTAGTTTAGTTCGGGTAACTATTAGTCTAAAGGTAATAATGAATCAGTTACCTAAAAAGTATGTTCTTTAAAAAAATTCTCTATAGCACACTGTTTATTATTATTTAAATAAATCATTGTTCTGGTGCATTATCTATCCATTGGCAAGCTTAGAAAAGGATTGAATTTTCTCAAACAATTTGATCGCAACTATGTAAATTTTAACATCTTCTGTATAGTAACTGTTAAACACAATTGAATAGATTTTCCTAGTGAACTACTGAAAGAAAAACAAATTGAATAAGCAATGAGAAAATCCGCGTTATATTCAATTACAATGTCTCAGAAGATAATCAGGAATGTTACTTATTGCATTAATCAGCTTGCCAATCCCATGCATTTCCAAGTAGAATGAATACATTTGGGGAAAACCAAATTTATTTATGCATTCGCTGAGAATAAAATGAGGATAACGACTTTTAAATAAAAAAAAGAGCATTTGACTAATGTCATTAAAATTTATTTATTCAAATAGAAATTAATTAAAAGAAGGTAACAAATGAATAAATAAATTCTGTAAATATTAAGTGTAATATGAATATGCAGTGAGTTTTATACCAAAAACTGTAAATTAATTTTCTTCTTCCCCATTGTGATTACTGGAAATGAATGTTAGATTTTCTTCGCATTGAATAAAAATTTGTAAATCAAAACTACTCTGATAAAATTTTTAAAATTCATTAACATTAATATAAGAAGTAAAATTTTCCTTAATCTATGAGCTTAGATATTAATTTATTTTCAAAGACTAATAATCAGCTAAAATTTTTCTAATTTGTGTATTTTTTAACATTACAAAGCGTTTGTTAAAAGTGTTTTTATCAGCCGCCATTGCCAGGTTAGACTGTTGAAAAAATATCACACAAAAACCCAATTGATGTTAAAAAAATACCCCACATTCACAGTGGCTGCATTGAAGCTTTAGTGCTATTTATGCATCATTCTCATATGTATCCCACACATTTTTTCTTGATAAAGTTAGATTTATTATAAGAATCAATGGTACGCTAATCAATCATCGAGCGTTTGGTATTGACGTCAGATTACGATTAGATTAGATCATGTTTAACTATTCACCAATATCTGCAAATGTAAGACTTATTACTCTTGCTAAAGCTTAATTTCAGAAAAAATGCCATAAAATATTGTATTTACATTTAGACGGATGTAAATCTTCCGCTATGCATGTATTTACGTATGCAATTCAACCGCTAGCAGGTTTATCCTATTTAATTTTGTAAAAGAAATATGATACTTTATTGATCAATAGTTTTTATTTGAGATTAGCGTATAATGGTCCATCAGATCGAGCTTGGCCCCCGGATATCTGAAATTCTTGTTTCCTGCTCTATATTTCAGAATGTGCCATGGCGGGGTTTAATTTGAAATTACGCCAATATTTCTTCATGAGAGGTGGTGGCTCAGGGGATAAGTGCTTGCCCCCCCCCAATGAGATGACAAGAGTTAGAACTCCTCACCTGGCTTGCATCGACCACAGTGATGACGTAAAATATCTTCAGAGGTAGACAGATCATGAGTTAGTGACAGATCATGAGTGAATACGTTATGTACTGAAAAGCAAAATTAATAGGAAAATAAATAGTTTAGGAGAAAGGTGAAAATTACTATGCTGTTATTAACATTTATAAAGCCTGATAAATTTTGGTAAAATTTACTAATTAGAATAAATAAAAGTCAGTTATTTACTGAATAGATAAATTGAGGGAAAAATAATATGAATTCAATTAGTAGAAGTACTATAAATCGCCATACTGTTTTTGATGCCAATGATGCTTAATTAATTTTGGTAAGTAGGTGCTAGAATTGAAATAAAATAAAATATGTACTAAATAGCAAAATTAATGAAGAAATGGCAATAATTCATTTAAGAGAAATGTAAAAGATCGATGAACTATTTTTGAAGTAAATGATACTTAATTAATTTTTTGTACTGTGTGCTAAATAAAATAAAACTATAAGCTATGTAAATTAAATAATCTCAAGAAACTGAAGTCGAAAGATATCACCTGATGGAAAACTTCACGCGGTTCAAAAATATACGGAATTAAAATGACAGTCGACGGGTTTCAAGCGATTTAAAAACAGGAGCTCATTTTCAAGACTTGTCAGACGTGAATGCAACGAAAAAAATAATTCGGAAAAAAGA